GGATTGATGCTTTTGAGTTGAGGTGTTAGAGAAGATACTGAACACACCACAGACTGCTGAAGAACCAATAAGGCTGTTTTGGAAAAAGTGCAAGCTGGGTGCCCCTTAGAGGCAATGATGGTGAAACTTTATCTCCCATACTTTGGGCTTGTTGGGGGTGGTGGTGGTGGCTAATCCTTAGAAAAACACATCATGCTGGGAAAGGTGGAAAGTAAAGAAAAAGGTGAAGGCTTTCAACCAGATAGGTTTACACAGTGACTGCAATAATAGGCTCAAGTACATCTAAGATTACTGCAGGATTGGGCAAGGTTGAGATGACCCACAGTGGACTCAATGGCACCTAGCCATGTGCATTGTAGGATGTTTGGCAGTATCGTTAGCCTCAGCTCATTAGGTGCCACCAGGTGTCCTTTTTATTTGTGACATGTTGCAGACCAAGGGTAAAGTATAATTATCAATAATGAAACAGACACCAGGATTGAGATAAAACATAGAGCATAAAGACAGGGTGCCAGCAGTCTTGATGACTGAAGTGCCTCAAGCCATGCCTCTCTGTGTATTTATTGAGAATCTGTCAGGAAAGTAAACAAAGGGAAATCACAAGGGAGTAGAAAACAAAAACAAAGGATCATGGGGAAGTCTTTTGCTGATAAGGCCAAGTTCCTCTCTGTTGTTTACCTTATGCTTATCTCAGGAGGGAGGGATTCAGTAAATACAAACTAAGGACAATGTTGACTCTTAAGGAATGCCTTAGTGCTGCAGGGTGAATTCTAGCTTGTATTAGGTCTCTCTCATGTCCTGATACAGTATTTGGTTTATTATTAATATTAAATTTTATATTCGGCTTCCCACAGTGACAACCATATAATTGTCCATATATGAGTGTCCTCTAAAATATGAAGTGGTGGCAATAAGAGAGATGCAAATCAAAACCACAGTGAGATACCATTTCACCCTAGTAGCAGTGGCAAAGTATAAAAGCAAGCAATAAATGTTGGAAAGGATATGGAGAGATTAGAGCTCTTATACATTGTTGGTGGAATTGTAAACTGGTACAACCATTCTGAAAGGCAGTTTGACATTTCCTCAAAAAGCTGAACATATGGCCCAGCTATTCCATTGCTTGAAATATACCCCAAGAAAATGAGAACTGAGGCACAAATAGAGATTTGTACAACTGTGTTCATAGCAGCGTTAATCACCACAGCAACAACATGGAAACAGCCCAAATGTCCAACTACAATGGAACAGATTGAGAAATTGTGGAACATTCACATGATGGAATACTACACAGAACTCAGGAGCTTTGATTTTGAAAATCACTACCTAACAGGAGGGACTGGAGAGCATTATGTTAAGTGATCTAACTCTGCTTTGTAAGGACAAATACTGTAAAAGATCATTACTATGGAAATAGAAAGACAACTAGTAAATTGTGTATGAGGATTCAAGGGGGGAAGGTAAGAGCAGAGGGGTGAGGTTGGGCAGGGAGGGTAATCATAGGGTTGCACAATTTGATGGGACAAGGGAATGGTGGCTAAAAGAAATGGGAATGATCCAGGGTAAAAAATAATGAGTAAACCAGTATAAAATAAAAATTTGATTTTAAAAAGATATGATGTGGTTTGCTTTTAAAAAAATAATGAAGTTGAAATTCAAGCTCTGGTGGCCAAGTGGTAAGAAGCTGTGCTGCAATCTTGAAGGCATGCAGTTCGAGTCCACTAGCTGCTCTGCAGCAGAAGGATGGGCAGTCTCCTCCCTTGTGATTAATTGCCTCTGAAAACCCACTAGAGGGTCACGTATGAGTTGGTTCCGACTCTACGGCACACAACTACAAAAACGATAAGGGGGGGAATGTCTTTCTAAAATCTAAAGCTGGGAACATATAAAAGATATTAAACTTTTTGGTTTAGAATGTGATTTGTTTGAGAGTTCATCAAATGAGTATTTCCAGAAGTTGATGTTTATGTGGCGTAAATGAAACTTGCTTTCCCCTAATGTTTTTTTAGTAATTTAAAAAGTTCTCCTGTTTCATATGAAAAGCTAAATATATTAATTTTAAATGTTATACAATACTGAAAACTATTGTACAGTTTTTTACTCAAGAAGCTTATCCTAGCGGTGATATGTAATTTTCTTAAAGCATGTTTACGTATCTGTAACCTGTGTTCCTGTAACATGTTCCCTGTAGCTGTTGGCCTGATTGCTTCTGGCCAGTGTGACGTGGTCGTGGCAGGTGGGGTGGAGCTAATGTCTGATGTCCCAATTCGTCATTCAAGGAAAATGAGGAAAATGATGCTTGATCTCAATAAGGCCAAGACATTGGGCCAACGACTGTCACTGATCTCTAAATTCAGGTTGAATTTCCTGGCACCTGAGGTAAGACTTATAAATTCATATAGAAGGATTTGTGTTTCCAACACATCTTGCTAGTATACTTACAAGGAATTAGAATTAAGTAGGAATCAAGTATGGGCTCAATCAGGTATGCTTAAATCCTTCTGTTAGGTGCAAGGAAAGGTCAGTTATTCAGTCAAGATGAAGTAAAAAAGAAAATTTAATGATCCTGGTTAGAAAATGTTAATTGATTGATAGTAAACAAAAGATAGAAAGAGGATTGATGCCTTTGAACTCTGGTGCTGGAGAAGAGTGTTGAATATACCATGGACTGCTAGGAGAACAAACAGGTTTGTCCTGGAGAGGGTGAAACCAGAGTGTTCCCTGGAGTCAAGGATTCTGAAGCTTCGTCTGACATATTTTGGGCATGTTGCAAGGAGGGACTAGTCCTTGGAAAGGGACATCATGTTTGGCAGAGTGGAGGGGAAGCGAAGGAGAGGAAGACCTGTGGTGAGATGGATCGATTCTGTGACTGGAGCAGTGGGAATAAGTGCGTTTGAGATGGCTAGGTTGGCACAGGATAGAACAGTATTTAGAGCTCTTGTACATAGGGTCGCTATGAGTCGGAAGCGACTCGATGGCACATAACAACAACAACAACAAATAAAACAGAATGCCTCAGATGGCCCTGTTAACAGTGCTCCTCTCGCGTGTCTCCTTCCGCAGCTCCCCGCAGTGGCTGAATTTTCCACAAGTGAGACCATGGGCCACTCAGCAGACCGGCTGGCCGCGGCCTTTTCTGTTTCTCGCCTGGACCAAGATGAATATGCACTGCGGTCTCACACCCTGGCCAAGAAGGCACAGGATGAAGGCCTCCTTACTGACATTGTCCCCTTCAAGGTGCCAGGTAAAATGGTTTGTTCAGCTTTTAAACAAGAAGGATGTTTTGTGCATACTTTGTAGGGATTTCAGCATTGCTCCTAAAGCACAAAACCCTGCAAATGACTTTTCAATAAGTGCATTGTTTCTGGTCCAGAATAGTTAGCCTTCATTTTAAAACACGGACTCAGGTTTCAATTTATCGTAATAATGGGTAAATATTTTAAAAAGAAAAATTCTCATGAAAAGATTCTTGCAGACTTTCTGAATATTTGTAAGTATGTATATGTGTGTATACATACATATGCATATATATATAAAAAATTCTAAAATTTCTGGTACATATGACTTCTGCATAGAATAACCAAATGTGGATAAATGTCTTAAAATAGGATCTGTTCTGGAAAATAATGTATTTGAATTTTGTAAATAAACTAGAATAATAATAATAAATAGGATCTCTTCCTGTTAAAAATCCTTTCAGGTATTTATCAAATTTCTTAAGTATTTAGTTTAAAATGTGATCTCTTAGTAACTGAAAGGCTGCATTTCTGATGAATGGTGTAGTTTCACTTCACTCGTCTCTGGAGATAACATTTAATGTGTGTAGTTCTTTAGAATTACAAAGGCCGTGTTTTTATAGGAAGAGACACAGTTACTCAGGATAACGGCATCCGTCCTTCTTCACTGGAGCAGATGGCTAAGCTGAAACCCGCTTTCATCAAGCCTTACGGCACAGTGACAGCTGCAAATTCTTCTTTCCTGGTAACTGTCAATGCTGTTTCTGATTAGAGTTGACTTTTACATTCTGTACTCCCAACAGGAAAGCCTATAGTATATTTAGTTATGATACATTTTATGAACAGGGGCTTAGAGAATATATTCATTCACAAAAATAAAAAAAGAATATATTCATTCACAAGAATAATAGTATTAAAATACAATCATAAAAAATAGAATTATCCTTATTAATTACCTGATCCCCCCACCATTTACATACAGAAGCCCATTTTGTTTTAGGCACTTACTTGATAAGAAAGCGTTCCTTGCCTGTGCTGAGTCTTGAAGATAAACATAAGAGATAACTATAAGGTGTTGACAAGTGATAGAGTAATCAGAGAACCTTCCCAGAGGAGGTAACACTTGAACAGTGAGTCTTGAAGGAAGAGAAAAACCAGTTAAAGTATAAAGGAAGCATTCTAGGCAAGTGCAATAGCAAGGAAATGCATGAACTGGGCTTCTTTTAGGGAAGAGCTTTGTTGAAGCATACACTATGAATTGAAGAATATGGTATATGAAACAGTTTTTGTTGTTGTTGTTGTTGTTGTTATGTACTGTTGAGTTGGAACCAATCCACGGTTCACCCTTCAGCAAGTTCTAGAGACAGTAAATTGCACTGGAGGAGATGGCCCATCTTTCTCCCATGGAGTAGCTGGTAGATTACCCTCTGAACAACAGATCAGAACTTTGACCTATCCTGTGCCGTCCTCATGATCTCTGATATGCTCAAGCCCAATATTAGGTTCCTGTGTCAGTCCACCTTATTGAAGATCTTCCTTTTTCATTGATCCTCCACCTTTCGTAGCAAGGATGTTTTTCCAGCAACCTTCTCCTGACAACATGCTCATTGTATGTAAGATGAGGTTTCAAGATTCTTGCCTGTAAGAGTACGTTGGTTGCACTTCCTTTAAGATAGACTTGTTTGTTCTTTTGGCAGTCCATGAGATATTCATTGCTTTTCTCCCAACACCATAATGCAAAGGCATCAATTCTTCTTCATTCATCCTTAGTCATTGTCCGACTTTCAGATGCATAGGAAGTAGTTGAAAAGACCATGGCTTCGATCAGCTGCACTTAAGTCTTTAAACTGACATTCTTGCTCTTTAAGCACTTTAGAGAGGTCCTTGATCACAGATTTTCCTAATGCAACATGTCTTAATTTCTTGACTGCTACTGCCAAGGATGTTCATAGAGGACCCAAGAAAAATGAAATTTGTTGAAGTTGGTTGACAACTTCAGTCTTACCTCCATTAATCATGATGTTGCCAGTTGATCCAGTGGGGTAGATTTTTATTTTTTTGATGTTAGGGTATAATCCATATTGAAGGCTATCGTCTTTGATTCTTTTCAGTTAGTGCTTCAAGTCTTCTTGAGTTTCCTCAAGAAAGGTGTGTCCTCTGCATAACACAAGTTGTTGATGAGTCTTCCTCCAGTCTTGATGCCACATTCTTATTTATATAGTCCAAGTTCTTGAAAGATTTGTTCAGCATAAAAATCGAATAGTCAAGGAGGAAAGATACAGTGCTGCTTCAGATCTTTTCCTGATTTTACACTACGTGGTATTTCCTTGTTATGTTCGGACAACTGCTTCTTTGTCTAAGTTTTGGTTTCCTATGAGCACTGGGATACATACAGTTAAACACCTTTCAGTAATCAATAAAACACAAGTAGACATCTTTTTGGTATTTTCTGCTTTTATCCAAGATCCATCTGACATCACCAGTCTATCTCATGACACGGCCTTTGAATAATCTTGAAGATTATATTTGCATGTGATATTAATGGTATTGTTCAATAATTTCCATGTTCTATTGGATCACTTTCTTTTTGGATTTTTGTTGTGTACCATAAAGTCAGAACTGTCCTTTAGCTGACCCTCCAGCAGGTTTTCAGAGACAGTTAATCACACAGGAGAATAGGAACCAATGATCTCTTCCAGTCATTTGACCAGATAGCTGCCAGATTTCTTGGCCTAAGCTAATGAGCACATCCAGGGCTGCATCTGTTTTTTGAAACATGTCAGTTGGCATTTCATCAATTCCTAGTATTTATTCAATTCCTGATATTTCATTCCAGTTCCATATTCCAATTTTTAATGAGAGTTTCACAGCTGTTTTCTCTTCATTTTTTAGTGTTTTCCTATCTGAGTGACTCTACTTTCACTCCTATATCTTAACAATGTTCCTCTGTTATTCACAGGACTTTTGAAGGCTTGTTATTTCAGAGGTGAATGGCCAAACCTGCTTCTTAGTCTGGAAGCTCTGTTGTAACCTGTCCAACCATGGGTAACCCTGATGGTATTTGAAATACAAGTGGCATGGATTCTTCCCAAATCACAGCACGTCACTGCAGTACAGCAAACTGACAGACAAGTGCTGTACCCATAAGAGCAAATGATAAACAAGCAAGTATACACGTCCCCACACTACAAAACAAGCAGAATGACAGCCACTCTCAAGCCACCTCCAGTACAGTGAGTATACAGACAAGTGTTGCACCCGTAAGGCCAAACTATAAAACAAGCAAACCGACAAGTATCAAACTACATGCTATGGAGACTCTGGCCTGACTGGGCACCCCAGCTCCAGTCATTGGCTCAGCTGGGAGAGACACTGTCCAGGCCAGACAGTTTATTTTCTGTTTCTCACAGCATGCATGTGAAAAAGAATGGGCAGAAAATAGTAAGGAGATTTGTCTTCTGATGCTGGTAGTCAGGAAATGAGGATGTTTATTGATTCCAAAATGACTCTCTTGGAATAAATCAACCCTTATTTTGTTTTTTTATCACATTACTCTCTATCCTTTTTGGGGGAAGGAGAGGCTCCTCTATTGACATGTTGCTCTTGCTTGTAAGATGAAGTTTCTCTTCTCTTACTACCTTGGACATGGTCTCCTGGAGACAGCTCAGGTGGTCAGTGTTTCTTTTATGATATAACTCCTCTAACTGACCCCAGCAACCCAGATTTTCTTCTGAGTGCAAGGTAAAGCTCACCAGGACAAGAGTGGATCTGCTCTGTGTGTTACTCCTGCACTGTTGCTGGTTTTCTTCAACTTAAGGTTCTGGTATTTGTCCATTTCAGGGAAATTTTCCTCCTTTACATTTGTACACACACCAAAAAAAAAAACCCCAGCGTTTTTCCCATTTTATTTGACATTTTCAGAATTCATTTTTTTCTTACTTTAAATTGAAAATATAGATAGTTCCTGTGAGTCGCAAACGACTCGACGGCACATAACAAAAACAACAACAGTCAGACTTAGGTATCAAAGAATATCAGATGATAAAGTATTCCTCTTTTCAGAGATTGAGTAAGGTAGCAATTACTCAATATATATTTTCATTTACCATTTTTTAGAGTTCTTCATAGTGCTTAAAAGTATGTTAAGAATATTCCTGTCATCGAGCTGATTCCAATCCCTAGAAACCTTCCCCAGTGTCTGTAAGGCGATAAATCTTAACAAAGGAGCCTTCCGTCTTTCTCTCCAAGAGAGAGTGGAGGATTTGAACTGACGGGGACACATAGGCCTTTGGTTAGCACCATTACACACATAGTCCAGTGTACCAGAACTCCTTTAAATATATTAGAGAAAGGAAAAGAATTTAAACTGCTAGAAAGCAAGAAACAGTAACAGAAAACAAGATGACTTTCTGTAACCAAGAAAATAAAGGGAGTACTAATTTATTCTTTATTCACTGATGCAGTTACGACTGTGAGTATAAATTGTATCTGATATTATGCATATTCTGTTAAAAGACGAGTCTCCCCCTGTTTCTAGGTCCAATTCAAATCCCTGCAGTTATTTATTAAGCTGCTATAGGGAAGGGGAGCTCTGGTGGCGTAGGGACAAGAAGCTATGCTGCAATCCCAAAGGCACACAGTTCAAATACCCCAGCTTCTTTGAGGGACACAGATGGACAGTCTCCTCCTATGCTATTAACTGCTTCTGAAAACTCACTGAAGGTTCAGCCACGGGTTGGGTCCCACTGATGGTACACAACAGCAACAGCAGCATATGTGGAAGGAGCCAGGCAAATATTCATAAGTAAAAACATTTGCTACATATTCCCTGTCTTCACCGTGTAGTATTCAGTGTAGTTCAAAACAGACAGTTAAGTACTTTGATGACGCACAAAGCAAGCCCAGATCCCCTGCTGTGTAGTTTGATTGTGACTCACTTTACCCCCATTAGATAGTGTAGAACAGCTACATAAGGCTTCCAGGGCTGTACGTCTAGGGATGCTGACAGCTGCGTTCTCTTGGAGTAGCTGGTGAGTTTGAACTGCTAACCTTTCTGTTAACAGCTTTGGGCTTTAATCACGGTGCCAACAGGGCTCCTTATAGGAACTGCCAAACAAAAAGCCACATCCACTGCTGTCAACTCATGGTGATCTTCTTTGAGTTTCCCAGGTTGTAAATCTTAACGATCCTCATCTTTCTCCCTATGAGCACGTGGTGGATTTCAAGCACCAGCCTTTTATTTAGCAGCTAGCTGCACTATGAACTATGCCACCAGTGCTCCTTCAGTGACTTATAGTTTATTTAGGTACCAGCGAGTCAACAGCAACTCCCAGCAGCCCTCTGGCGGCAGATCTGAGCCTTGCCTTACCTTGCCCCATCCTCAGATCTCTGTATGAACCCATCTTGTTGCAGGTCGTCCTCTCCTTTTCTAACGCTCCACCTTTCCCAGCATGGTGCTTGTTCCAAGAACTGATCTCTCTTGGAATATACCAAGAGTATGGGAGATGAAGATTCACTGTCCTTGCCTTTAAGGAACACCCTGGTTGTACTTCCTCCAACCCAGATCTGTCTGTTCTTTTTGCAGCTTGTGGCATATTCCCTGTTCTTCACTAATACCACAATTCAGAGGTGTCTGTCCTTCGGCCATCCTTACTCACTGTCCAACTTTACATGCATGGGAAGCAAGTAAAAAGTCCATAGAAAATAGAGCAAATTATTGATTTTTCTAACCAAACAAAATAGATTCCTTTTCTTTGGAAGTTTGGATTTGTCAGAGTTTTCTTTTGAAGTGATGTTAAAGGGCTTATTAAAATGCTATCTCTTTGTACCCTAACTTCTTGATTATCATTTGGGAGAAAGTAAATAGAGTCAGAAGAAGGAAAACCATAGTTCATGTGTTTTCAGGCACCTACAAGTTTCTTCTTTTGTTTGTTTGTTCTTTATATTATTGTTGTTATGTGCTGTTGAGTCAGCTGCATCTCATAGTGAGCCTGTGAACAGTGCATCTGAACTCTGGCCGATTCTGTCCCATCCTTATCATCTCCTACATGCCTGAGCCCATTGTTACAGTCACGGTGTCAATCCATCTTGGGTTTTGAATTATATTATTATTTTATACTGGTCTGTTTACAGAGTTCATGTACATTGTTTTTTACACCATATCTTTCTATTTCCTTCACTCCCACCTCCCTCAACCTATCATATTGTGCAGCCCTATGATTATCAATCCCTCCTGCCCCCGCCCATCCTCTCCCCTCGGCTCCCCCCTTTGGATGCTCATCCTTGTTCTGCAGTAAGGGTCTTATACAGTATTTGTCTTTATGGGACTGAGTTAGTTCTCTCAGCATAATACTCTCCAGTCTCTTAGGTAGTAATTTACAAAATCCTTGTTCCTGTTTGCTGTATAGTTTTCAATCTTTTGTGTGAAAGTAATTTCTCAATCCATTCTATTGTATTTGGACATTTGGGCTCTTTCCACGTTCTTGCTATAGAGAATAACACTGCTATGAACATTGGTATACAATTCTCTGTTTATGCCTCAGTTCTTATTTTCTTGGGGTATATTCTAAGCAGTGGAATAGCTGGGCCATATGAATTTCTATGTTCAGCTTTGGTTTTTTTTTGAGGGATAAGAAGCTTTATTATTTTGACAAATCCTCTCAGTCATTATAGATCTTTTAGTACTGTTAATAAAAAATACATGCTTCTCTATAAAGCATTAAAAACCCCCTCCATCTATGAGATGGCTGAGTCCTCAGCTCAGGTATCTTCAAATGCACTGTTGTATATTTGCTGACCTGCCACGTGTTATTTCTTAGTTGCTTTCTGGATCGATACCATTCTCTGTTTGTGAGCTTCTGTGGTGCAAGTTTTTTTGTGGGGTCAGATTTCTTCAGAGCCAGATCCTGGGATGCACATGTTTGCTGGTGCTCTCGATGCAACTGGACATCTTTCAGCTCCAGGGTGCTGGACTTGGCGATGCCCGGCACGCTGGCAGGCTGCTGTCCTACATCTGGATGAAATCGGCAGCCATCTGCAGCAGCATCTCCTCTTATCTTCGTCCAGTTGTTCACTAGGATCCACCTCTCTGTACTAAGTCTTGCAGTTTCTTCTTCATTAACACCTGGTTATTTTCCAGGCTGACTCAACCTCCTGTGCCAGGAGGGCCTGGGGTGTCTTTACCACAGTTGTGCTGTTGGCCATGGAGCCTCGTGGAGGGGTGCTGGCTGGTTCCGGTTTTATGGATGAGAAATCAGAGAGGTTGATTAGGGCTGAGAGGCCAAGCTCATTCCTCATCTGCCATACTTTGGACTAGTCTTCAGCTCATTGAGCTTACTAAGATCTGTTTCGTTCTCTAGCTATGAGGACCAAAGACCGGTCAGCTCTGACACATGCTAGCTGTTTTGGCTCTTGCTCTGCTCCACCAGTTACGTTTTCTTTTTTTATCAGTTCACATTGGCTTCAGCTGTGCCAGCAGTTTGACTTGGAGCTTTCCTCAGATCATCTTGTTGAGGGCCTTCCTCTCACATTGACCCTTAACTTTTCCAAGTCCTTCTCCAAGGACTGTCTCCCTCCTAACAACATCCCTAAACTATGTGAGTTTCTCTATCCTTGCTTCTAAGGAATACCATGGTTCCACTTTCTGCAAACCAGACCTGTACATTCTCTTGTCAGTCCATGGGATGGATGTTAGTGTTCTTCAACACCACACCTAAAAGGCATCGATGATTCTTCTGTTATCTTTAGTGTTTGTCCACATTCCAGATGCATAGCACACATTTGAAAAGACCATGGCTTGGGTTATGCACATCTGAGTCTTTAAGTTGACATCATTGTACTTTAGTACTCTGAAGAGGTTCCTGACAGCAGATTTTCCCAATGGGACTCGTCTTTTGATTTCTTATCTGCTGGTACCAAGAGTGTTGATTGTAGAGCTGAGTAAATGAAATCATTGACCACTTCCAGCTTTTCTCCATCTGCCAGGATACTCTCTTTTGTCCCATTGGTGAGGATTTTTGTTTTCTTTAATTGAGATGGAATTCATATTGAAGGTTTTGGTAGAGGAACACCTTTCTTTATGTAGAGTCTAAAAGCAGAAGAAAGTGACCTAGAATCTACTGACAGGAAGCAGCTGAGACACAGTCTAGAACAACATATGCAGAAAGATAGGGAGATGCATAAGAGATTATTTTAATTCCAAAATTTTCTCATATTCTGAATCTAAAGAAAAGCAAGACTTTGATTTACATTTCTTACAAGTATGTGCTTTTAAAGTTCCCTGTTTATGTCCCTTATGATCATTGTGCTTTCTGACCAGATCTGCCCTCCTCTTCCTAAAAGGGCTCAGTGGATGTTTTTCAGTTATGATGTGATGGTGAATAAAATGAAAAATTTTGTTAGATAGAATTGCTGTGTTGGTGTATTTAGTTGCTAAGTTCAGAAACAGGGCAGAGACCATGGTTGTCGAAGGGTCCCTACACGAGCTAAAGAACTTAACGTTATTGTCTGGTTAACATTTCAGACTGACGGTGCGTCGGCCATGCTGATTATGGCAGAGGAAAAGGCTCTGGCCATGGGCTATAAACCAAAGGCATATCTGAGGTAAACTAAAATGCTCATGTGAACTGCCTCTGATTTTTAAATTGTTTTGCCTGAACTAACCATGCTGTTTCCCCCTCTTAGGGATTTTGTCTATGTGTCTCAGGATCCAAAAGACCAACTCTTACTCGGGTAGGTAGCAGTGTGTGCCCGTGGACTGTAGACAGAAGTAGTAATGCTGCTGAGGTTACCCGTGCATCTTTTATACAAACTTCAAAATTTTTATAATTGTGTGGTAAAGGGTTTTTAAAGAGTAATAATAATTCCTTATGTTGTTGGTGTATCATTTTATAGTTTTATTCTCCATTTTTTTCCTAAGTCATTTTCACTTGCAATATAGATACAGGGTTATATATTTTTTGTGAAGAGCCTATAAGCATTATTTCCCTATTGTTAACATTATCTGTTAAAAAGTCTTCATTATAGACTTTGGTAGAAACTGCATATCTGAATAATTTATCGTCAAACAAGTTTGCTTCACTGGACTCCATATGTCCTTCAAACTGCCCACGAGCCTTTTCCCATCCCAGCCCTTTCCCACCCCTTACCCTTTGAACTCTGTCTCGCTCTTCACATGAGCCTGTCCTTGACGTTCAGGTATCAAATAAAACAATAGAAAACTTCTCTGACCACCCTATTTTAAGAGACCTTCTTTTACTCCTCTGTCCCCTCTCTCTCTGTTGTCCTTGTGATGTTGATTATCACAATTTTTTTTGTCTACTTGTTAATGATCAGTTTCCATTATTCTAGAATATAGACTTTATTAGAGCAGAGGCCATGTCTGTTTAACACACTGTTATGTCCCCAGCACTTAATGAATGTGCAGTGGTATCAATGAATGGGGGACATTATAATATCTGTGTAAAACTCACTTTGGGGAATATGAATGATGACTTGGATTAAAACAAATTCTTTTTTTTTCTTTTTTCTTTTCAGACCAACATATGCAACTCCAAAAGTTCTAGAAAAGGCAGGATTAACAATGAATGATATTGATGCTTTTGAATTTCATGAAGCTTTCTCAGTAAGTAATTTTAAAGACACATATCAGAGGATTGTAATCACAGTAAATGTAGTCTGTTTGGGGTGAGAACAAGGCGTGGTTTGTAATATGGTAAAGAGAGGCAGAGCTTTACATTTTAAGTGACACTGGCCTTTGTTGCTGGAAGCACTGAGTGACGGAAATCAAGGGCACCCACAATGTCAAAAGCCTTTTCACATTCTTTCAAGATATGCTCAGAAGAAGATTTCTTAAGTGTCTCTGAGAACTGGTTCAAAAATTTGCTGAACTTCAAGTTAGACAAACCTATCCCTAAAAAGAAAGCCTTGAAAGTACACCAATAACAAGGTCTGTGCTCAATTTCTTTTCTTTCTAGGGCCAGATTTTGGCTAATTTTAAGGCGATGGATTCTGACTGGTTTGCACAAAACTACATGGGTAGGAAAACCAAGGTTAGTTTCTGATTAAAAATGTGCTTGAATTTCCAAAGCAGATTATTGTTAAGAGTTTAGTGCTGATAAGAGCTTGAAGGATTTTATGTCTTACTAAAAAAATGTGTTTCTTGGTTAAAAAATAATTACTGTAAATTCTTTAGCAAAAAAGAAAAGCTAGATGTCTACTTTGTCTTTTATTCTTTATATGCTCGCATTAGATGAAAAACAAAACAGATCCTTGGCTTTCAGAATTAACCTAGTCTTTTTCTTTGCTGTAAAGAGATTTGTGATGTGTCTCAAACCATGATTTCCCACCATCTCTCTAGATTCTTAAGTGAACTCATCTTCCCATGTGTCTTTGTTTTTGTGGGAGCCAGGTTGGATCACCTCCTCTGGAGAAGTTTAACATGTGGGGTGGATCACTGTCCCTGGGACACCCTTTTGGAGCCACTGGCTGCCGTTTGGTCATGGCAGCTGCCAACAGATTACGTCGGGATGGAGGCCAGTTCGGCTTGGTGGCCGCCTGTGCGGCTGGAGGACAGGTATGATGTCATAGCAGCTCCATAGAAACTTCTAGACTCTTGGTGGGAAAACAAGCTTGTGCTAAGAACTTTGGTTTAGTTTCATTCAAAACATTCTTAAAACAGTTTATCTGCTGACAGACAGCTAGATAAAAGGCAGCCTTTTTTAGGGGGCTGAGAGATGCATGGGATGTGTACAACTTTAATTGTGATAATACTTTGGAAGGGAAGTGCTACTTAAATTTAATTATTAAAAAGCTAATCCCTCTTTAACTTAACCCTAGGTTCACTCTTTTAACAGATCTTAAATGATCTTGCTAGAGAACTGAACTATATACACTAATGTACCTTATTCAGAAGGTTGACATCAGGATAACTTAACTGCTATTTAGCTGAGGGAAATTGTTATTCTGACAGATTTTTCTTACTTGACTTACAGACACAGCTTCCTATTTGGAAATAGAAGGAAAACTGCTTGTGTGCTTTTTTTTTCTTTCCCTTATGTGAACAGATTTTCTTTTCTTTGAGATTGAAGAAACTTCTGGCTCTGGTCACGATAAATAAATAAAACATACAAAGGCATAAACATTTTTTTAAAGGCATAAACATCTTTTAAAAGCCTTTATTTATAGCTTGTCCTCAGAGACTTTGAAATAACAAAAGACCAGTCATTTCTACGTTAAACATTTTAGACTTTATGAGCAAATAACATTTTTCAATTTGGGTGGCTTCCTCTACAGAAAACTAGAGTCACTTAGGCCATGAGCCCTCCCTCGTGTCTGTCCGTGCCACTTCTCCACTAAAAAGAGAACTAGCTGGTGTGCTGCGCTGTCCTTAGACATAAGCCGCCTGGGATAATGTTCTTTGTTTTCAATATTCTCTAGTTTTAGGTGGCGTTTAGAGCACATCTACACAGTATGGCACCCTCTTGTGGATGAACAAATAGCAACACTCAGTGCCTTTTTTCCTAGAAGTTTGTAGCATGTTGAGGAGGGAGATCTTGCTGAGAACTTCCTTTAAGCCTGACATTGTTTCATTAAGAGCCATATGAGTGGTGCAAATATAATTAGAAGAGTTGAGAAGGAAGCAGTCATTGTGGATCCTGAGCAGGATCTTTCAACTATAGCATATTGACATGTGGGATCAGAACATTCTTTGTCTTGAGGGACTGTCCTGTGCTTTACAGTGACAACCCTAACCTCCCTTGTCTGTACACCCCACAGTACCCAACACACTCTTCCACTGAAGCTGCTAAGACTACCTCCAGACAATTCCAGATAACCCCTGAGGGGCAAAATTGCCTCCACTTACCTGGTAGAAGCCAGCCTAGAATGGAACTCACCCATGGCTCAACTTTGAGCTGAACAGTAGACAGGCCTACAGGGTGATCAGCAACACCAGGAGAGAACATCCTTTGGACAGTTAACTGTACAGGATCCAAAGGGCAACGTTTGTCTAGGGTGAAAGCTCTGAAGGCAAGAGGCTGTTGAGTGAGCAGGGCAAGGGACCGACCATTACCTGGTTTAGAATGAAGAAGGGGGTGCATCTTGGTTGTATTCTCTCTGTATCTATTCATTGTGTATGCTGAGCTAATTATTTGAGAAGCTCTATTAAGAATGTGGCATCAAGATCTGAGTAAGTCTCATCAATAACGTGCATTATGCAGGTGACACATCCTTGCATGCTCAGAATGAGGAGGACTTGAAGTACTTGGTGCAGAGGATCAAAGAATATACTCTTCAATATGGATTGCATCGCACATCAAGAAAAACAAAGATTCTTACCACAGAACTCCTAGGCAGCAACATGGTAGATGGAGAAAATATTCAAACTATCAACAACTTCATCTTACTTGGACCCACACTTAACACCCTTGGTATCAGCAGTCAGGAAATTAGGAGATGATTGGAAAAGTCTGCAATTAGGGACCTCCCCAAATGATTGATTTGTAATGATTTGAGGACTAAGGTGTTTCTGATTCAGGCCATGGTCTTTCTGATCACTTGCTATGCATCTGAGAGCCGGACAGTGAATAAGGATGACAAAAGAAGAATTGATGCCTTTGAGCTGTGGTGTTGGAGAAGAGCATCTGTTGGACTTCCCAAAGAACAAATGAATATATATTGGAGAAAGGCAGCCAGAGTGCTCTCTGAAGGCAAAGATGATAAAACTTCGCCTCATATACTTGAGGCATGTTGCTAGGAGGGGCTAATCCTTGGAGAAGGACTTGATGCTGGGAAAGGTGGAGGGTCTGCAAAGGAGTGGAAGACTCTCGATCAGGTGGATTGACACAGCGACTGCCGCAGTGGGCTCTTGTGTGTCAGGAAGTGTGAGGATGGCACAGGATAGGACAGGGTTCTGTTGTTCTTAGGGTTGTTATGAGTCAGACTCAACTCGATGGCACCTAACAATAACAAGGCAAGAAGGGAGAGGAAAGAAGGACTGCTGGAAATAGGAAACACAGGAGGAAGTGAGAAGAGTCTGTTACAATGTGGAGATCCTAATCAATCATAAAACACAATGTGTACTGTTTGTTGAGTCAAAAACTAACTTGCTCTTAAAAAAAAATAAAATAAGCCCAACAGAACATTCCCTCAGTACAGAACCAGAGATGTGTAGAGCAAAAAAAGATGTTGGTACCTGAAATTGCTTTTAGATAAAACAGAAGTAGGTTGCCCTCTTATGGACCTGTCTAGGACAACCCCCAGTAGTCAGATGTGCCCATCACTCTCGTGTTTGCCTTTATCAGGGATCCCTGGTGAGACAGGGGCTTAGCACTTGGCTATGAACCTGACGGTTGACAGCTTGGATCTCCCCACTCTTCTGTGGGAGAAAGATGAGGTGGTGTGCTTCCCTCATTTAGGTTCCTGGGCTGGTGACTCTGGGCAGTGCTCTGTCACCCAGGGTTGAGTGAGTCCACATCACCTCCACAGCCGTGGACTGTGGATTGGTTCGGTTCGCTTTGCACCGTTATCACAAAATATGTAACTGGTTACTTTGAAGTGCAATGTATACTAGACTGAACACAAGTATAATGTGGCAAATATATATCTATATATTCATGTGATACTCATTTTGGTGTCTGATATGTGTATTTGCTTACTAAATATTTCTGGAGATCTCAATTGACTCTAGAAGGAGGGAAGTTAGTTTTTTTGATTAGAGTAATAGCACTCCAGTTATTATATACCATTAAGTCAGAACCACTGGGAAGGAGTCGTACTGAAGCTTCACAGGAGCAGGATGGGCAGTCTCCTCCTGTGCAATTTACTGCCTCTGAAAACCCACTGGAGGGTCAGCTATAAGTTGGTTCCAGCTCAACAGCACACACCAGCGGTAGCAGTCCAAAAGATAGGCAGATATCAGCTAAGACTTGTATTCAAGGAATTGTAAGTTGGTGTGTCATTATGGTCCCTCAAGTCTGCATCTTAATCTGTACAGAAAAGTTAAGAAGGCGATGGTTCAGGCTTTGGACTAACTCACACTTGGTTTCACATCCTGATTCTACTGCTGAAGAGTTTTATGATTTGAGAGAGTAACTTAACCCTTCAGAGCCCCATTTCTTCTTTAAAAGTCTACCTTTTTTGGCATTTGCTGTGGGGTTCCCCTCCTTTACAAAATGTTATATTGATTTGCATATAAAATAACATATATGCTGTGTTTCATTCATATACATTGTATCTTACACATTTCTTTATTCACATTGTGTTTCATATGATCATTCTCATACTTTTTTAAAATTAATCACCATTGATCTATGCCCACTGTTAGCCCATCTTTTTTAGGTCCCCATTGGGTCTTATCTAATTCCTTCACCCCTTCAGATGTGTTTATCTTATTTTTATTTTTTTAGGTTATATTTTAATTTATTATCCTTTTTTTATTATTAATTTAATGAAAGTTTACAGAGACTTAGGGTTTCCAGTCATTCTTTGTTGCACTTTTCTCCCTGCCCGCCCTCTCCCCACAATTCACTCTTCTCTTTGAAAAGAAAAAGAAAAACTCTTTTCATTGTTATGAAATCCCTCCCCTCAAGTCCACTCCACTATACAGCTTTCCCTCTGGACTTCTGTAATGACAAGAATACCCATTCATATCTCCCTTTTAAACAGTTTTCTCCCTCATCTGTTTCAATGCAGTATATATACATCATTCCTCCCCTCCTTTTCTGTCTTCCCTCAACCCTGATGTCAGTCTCATTTTACAGCAGTGGCTTTATGCAATATTTGTCCTTTTGTGATTGAGATATTTCACTCAGCATAATGTCCTCCAGGGTCATGCATTTTACATAATATTTCATGAGTTCCCTGTTTTTCAATGCTGCATAGTATTCCATTTTGTGACTATACCAGAGCTTCTTTATCCATTCATTTGCTGATGGGCACTTGGGTTGTTTCCAGCTCTTTGCTATTGTGAACAAAGCCACAATAAACATGGGTGTGCAAGACATGTTTATTTTTTTAATAACTAAAAGAGCCCAGCAAGTTCTCATTTCACTGACAAATCTTTGTAGATCTCCTAGGAATCAAACTCTTTACTAGGACTTTGCATATAACCTGTTACCGAATTTAATGATCATAAAACCACTATAAACTAGGCATCAGGGTCCTCATTTTATAGAAGAGGAAATTGTTGAGGATGACTAGTAATTTCCCCAGAATCAGAATGAAAAGTCTGTACACTCCCCATTCTGTGCTGCTTCCTTAGTAATGTTACACTGACTGACTGCATTCACGGCTCTAATTGGATCTTTCACTTTTTTATTTTACAGGGCCACGCTATGATAGTTGAAGCTTATCCAAAATAAATAGATCAAGAAGAGGTGACTGAAGTTTCAGTGATGCACTCACACTAGGCAATGCCATTTCAATGCATTAATAAATGACATCTATTATTCCTCGCTCCTCTTTGGAAAGCAAAATCTGTGGCCTTCTGTTAAATCCTTTCCAGTTAAGCCTTGCCAGTGTTCCAAGCTTTCAAAAACCACGGTTTATTGTCCTTTCAGGGACTTCGTTGTCACCACCGTTTAAGCAGTTGGGTTTGGTCTCTATTTTCATGAAATACTAACACAGTGGTTGTAGTTTGGGAAAGCAGCTAGCTGAAATCTGCAAATTATACTTATTTGTGTCTTAATGTTTTCTGTAGAATACAAACCAATGTGCCTAAATTAATTACAGAAAAATAATTCAAAATCTAAACCATACAACAGATGTTTAGATACATAAATATCTTTGCCAACCTTAATAAAGTGGAGAAGTATTACAAAACTGTTTGCTTGGTTTTTATTATTTTATTAGAAAAAGTAACTTGTTTGTAATTGCTCATCATTTTTGTCAGCTGTGAAGAGATTGTCCTGATTTGGAATAACCCGTTTGTATGTGGTTAGTTTCCTCTGTTGTTGGATCGTAGCAAATTTATTTCACCTTGTGGAGATTTTTGTTTAGTTGAAATGTAAACCGTTCTTGCATTTGGTTCATTTAGTTATACTGCTAGTTTTTTTGACAATCAGATGTCACTAAATGTGTATGCTGCAGGTTTGAAGAAACAAAAGGCTTGATTATGGCCACTTGTGTGAATGTTGTGTTAGGTCTGTGACAGTTACTGGCCATCAGCATCACCCTCCAGTTCTGGGACAGATTGGACAAAGAACCTAAGGTGATCCTCTTTCAGGGATGTTTGAGAGGCCCAATATCATCTCCCCTATGATTCCACTGCTAATTTAAATGAAATGAAGGGTATAGATTTAAAAACAACAACAAAAAAAATTGAAAAGCTCAATATTAATACATATGTCACAAAATCAACTGTTAAAGATTTTTATCCCTTGTATGATTTTAAATGGAAAGGCAAGTTCCAAATGGCACACACACACACCAAAAAAACCACACCCATCGTAATAGCTTTCTCTTAAAAAGGATGCAGGATATTTAAATAAATCCTGCAAGTCAATACAAATAGGACAGCCTAGGGGAGGGAAAGGAAAGAGCTTTGGTGGTCTAATGGGTAAGGAATTGTGCTGTCCGACCAAAAGTAGACAGTTCAAGTCCACCAGCTGCTCCACAGGAGAAAGATAGGCAGGCCCATGTGATAAACAGCCTTTCAAAACTCACTAAAGGATCAGCTATGGATTGCTTCTGACTTGATGGCATACCACAAAAATGAAGGGAAAGGCAATCTCAAAAAAGGGGCTCATGAACGTAATAGTACTACAGAAGGGGAAGACAGTGCTAGAAGGATTAATGGAAATCAGGAGGAAATGGGGAAAATGTGATTACATTGTAGTTATTGAAACTAGTGTCCTAGGACAAAATGAGTAGGAATGGTTGAACAGAAAAATAACTTTGTTAAAAAAAATTAAAAGAGCCCAGCAAAAAAATGAGCAAATGATATTCACAGGTGTCTTAAAGAAAATTATAGACTAATGGAGACTATACATTAAAAGATTTTCATTAGGAATCCAGAAAACCCAAACTAAGATCATAATGACATATTTTTTTACTCACTAAACTGGCAAAAAGTAAGAAGATTAAGTGTGGGGGAGGAAGTGGAATCATAGGGCTTTTACACACTGCTGGTGAGAATGGAAATGAGTACATTGACTTTGGAGAAACATTCTAACAGTATTTTATGCATGTGATGCATGGTCTGCGACCCAGCAGGTCCCAAACTTCTCCCACGAGTACCAGGAGACAACACGTGTTCATAGCAGCATTGTTCTTATTGGCAAAACATTGCTGTGGGGTGCTGAAAGGGACATCCCACCTCTGTAATATTCTTGTTACCCACAGCCCTGCTAAATTCTGATCAAACATCAGACACACTCAAGTTTACTGGGGATTCCACAAAATGCTTGAAGAGTACTCAATAGTTAAGGTCATAAAAACCAAGTGAAGACAGAAACTCATACCAGGGACAGCTAAGGGGACACGACAGCTGAATGAAATCTAGATGCTCTGTGGTGTCCTGGACTGGATCCTAAAATGAGTAAAGGACATTAATGGGGAAATCTGCATGAGTCTGAAGTTTAGTTAATGCATTTAGCTGTTCCAGGAAGAGGTTACCTTGGGAGGTGAGGGCAGAGGGATTGAGAAGATGGGTGGTTTCAGGGGTGATGCCAATGCTCTAGTTCCATGGAAGAGTTACAGTCCCTCAGGCTGACATAAGGCTGTCAGACTTGCCCCTTAATATTAGGCAAATTAGCCTTTATTTTGCAACTCTTGAACCAAACCCTGTTGCAAGAAATTCATCACAATCACCTTCACTTGCTGCATATGCAGCTTTTAAATATATTCTAAAAATCCCAAATCCACTGCCTTTGAGTCAGCTTTAGAGTCATAGTCTAAATCTTTGCAGGAGGAGACTCCATTTTCCTCCAGAGAGTGGATTCAAACTGCCAGCTTTTCTGGTTTCCTTTTTGTGATTCAAGAAAGTAAGACCAAATAAGAACCATATGCATCTGTTCTGATTGGCCTACAAGTTTGACTTAAATATTAGGATGGATCTCCTTCATAATATCAAGACTACCTATAGATGATTTTAAAACAGTTGATAACAGACAAGAGTAAGCCAGGTTTTTCACATCACTATTAACAAAAGGCCGTCGTTGGCTGTGCTGGGTGTATGTGCTTCTATCCAGATGTAACCCTTCTTAGATTCCTGGTTTTGCTATTCTTAAAGATTTGAACATAAATTTCTTTCATGTAAAATGTTAACTAGACCTCTGATTCACCAAATAATAATTTAGGAGTGAAGCCTTTCACTCACCCCAACCTTCTTCAGAATGGGCTGCCCCCTGGTTGTGTGGATGATAATACATTTCACTCTGTCTGCAGGACAGATCATTCAGGAGGCTGGGCTTTATGAGAATTGTCGTGTCAGAATTGGAGGAAGACAACAACCTCTGTTATGCAGAAGACACACCCTTGCTTCCTGGAAATGAGAATGTGAAGCGCTTGCTGCAGAAGGTCAAGGACTGCAGTCTTCAATATAAAACATGAAGAAGAACATCATAACAATATCAAGAAGACAAAGATTCTCACCAGCAGGCCTATTGGCAGCATCATGATAGATGAAGAGGAGACTGAGATTGTTAACACGTTACCGCAAATGAAGGCAAATGTGTCTAAGCATGGTCGTCAATTTAAAAGTGTGCAGCAACATGCTAATAAATTCAGCTTACTGAGCCCCACAATCAACATTGTTGGTACTACAGTCTCGGAAATTGAAAGTTGAATTGCATTTGGAAGAATCTCCTGTCAGGGGCCTCTCCAGAGTGCTAAAAAGCAATGATGTTAGTCTGGAGACTAAGGTGCACCTGATCCAGCCTATGGTCTTTGCAAAAAATTACTTGCTATGCATCAGAGAGCTTGATAATGTCTAAGGATGACAGAAAAAGAATTGATGCCTCTGAACTGTGGTGCTGGAGAAGAGTCTTGAACATACCATGGACTGCCAAAAGAACAAACAAGTCCATCCTGGAAAGAGTAAAACCAAGCTGCTCCTTGGAGGCAAGGATTTTGAGGTTCCGTCTCACATACTTTGGGCAAGTTGCCAGGAGGGACCAGTCCTTGGAAAGGTGGAGGACAGTACAAGAGAAGAAGAGCCTGGGTGAGTTGTTGACACAGTAACTGAAGTAGTGGGGTTAGGTGTGTCAGAGACAGACAGGCTCAAGATAGGACAGTGTTCACGGGTATTGACTTACTATGAGACACAGGCAACTCGAGAGCATATAACAGTTAACAATGTGGAGAAGAAAGGGAACTCAAGAACATTTAATTGTGATTATGAGAAATCTCTACATAAACCAAGAAGCAGTCATTTAAACAGAGCAAGGGAACACTGCATGATTTAAAAAGCAGGAAAGGTGTGTGTCAAGGTTGTGTTCTTTCTCCATGCCAAAGCTGGACTATAAAGAAGGATGGAGGAATATTCACCAATAACCTGTGTTATGCGAATAACACAACCTTGCTTACAGAAAGTGAAGACTTGAAACATTTATTGAAGATTAAATGCTACAGCCTTTGATATGGATTACATTTCAAGAAAACAATCCTACCGCTGGTCCAGTAGACAATATTATGATAAATGGAGAAAAGATTGAAGTTGTTAATAATTTCATTTTACTTAGATTCACAGTCAACACCCCTGACAACAGCAGTGAGGGAATCAAAAGACTTGTTGCATTGGGCAGGTCTGCTGTCAAAGACAGCTTTAAAATACTAATCAGCAAGAATGTCAATGTAAAGGCTGAATGAAGTGTGCCAGACACTAGCTATGGTGTCTCCATTGCTCCTTGTTTGCCTGTGAAAATAGCACAACAAATAAGGAAGACCAAAAAATAGAGTTGACGTTTTTGAATTATGGTATTGGTGAAGGAAATTGAATATACATACCATGTGCTGCCAAAAAGAACAAACAAATCTGTGCTGAGAAAAGGCAATGAGGGTGCTGCTTAGAGAGAAGGATGATAAAACTTCGTCTCACATATTTTGAGCGTGTTGTTAGGCCTCTGCCAGTCCTTGGGAAAAGTACAAGATCAACAAAAGAGAGGCTAGTGCAACAATGAATGAATGGAAACCCAAAATCTCTGTAAATGTTTATGAAAATTAATAAAATATAGAAAAAAAAAAAGAGAGGCAGACCCTCAACAAGACAGCACATTGACAGTGTGTCACGGTGGAGACCGGCAGGGCAGGGCAAAGCGTTGATCTTCACAGGGCTGCTCAGAGCTGTGGTTGATCCGATGCTACCCAACAACCACCACCACAACCTCCCCCTCCAACTCTGCTTAGATCTCTGATTCTGAATCAAGGTTCATGTTCTTCCTACGGTCTAGAGGAGTTCACCTATCCAATATTTACTGAGTGACTGTTATGAGTCAAGCCCGATTCTAAGTCCACTCACTCTGCCATTGAGGGAATTCCAACTCAGAACAACCCTGTGACACAGAATTGA